ATTACAACAGCCTATTCAACTGGGTGTTTCGACTGAGACGTTTCGTTTCCATGTCTTGAAAGAAGGTCGCCCATCTGAGCAACTGAAAGCATTCCGCACACATTCAATTCCTCAAAACACCAACCAGCCCGAACGAAAATATGAAAGGTCCGACCTCTGCAGACGGGAGGTGGGAGAAGTGTAATTGGCCGGTCACGATGCAAGCCCCCTTGGCAACTCTGCCGAAAGCCGACGTGGACTGATGGAATGAGAGGTTTCTTGAGCCCCAGGAAGCTTTGGTACCTGTAGGTAAACTGGCAGTCCAGTAATAAGGTGTTTCCGTGCCCACCCCTCGCTGGAAGCTCTGGTGTTTTGCTCTCTAATTTGTGAATAAGGCATTATGGAGAATTGCAGAGTCGCTTGTCTGCGACCTTGTGGGAAGTTGTGGCAGTTCGAGACGAAAGGAGTGCAGTCTGATGTGGGGTGGCAACGGGTTTGGGAACAACACGCAAGCCACCATTGGAGCGCCGATGTGAGACAAGGTGGATGACGCGTCACTGAGCCGCTAAGGCCCACGCCCCCAGGGTCATGGGGGTGTCGACGCATCGGGCACGCACCCAGAAGTTGTGTGCCAAAGAAAGCCATCGTGGATGTCGATCAGGTCCTCTGTTCCAGGCTCTGGGGAGTTTAACCTGGAGAACGGGTCCCCAAGAAGGGCGACCGTGAGATTTGGAATCGTCGGGACGCAAACCGCAACAGATATCGATATCCTTGCTGCTGTTGGTGATAGTATCAATATGCCCAGCCGGGGAAGTGCCAAGGTTCGAGCATGGCCAGAATGGCAAGAATCGGGCTTGATGGCGCCGAGCGGATACAATTTGCGGCGTACGGAGTCACGGACGCCATTTGGGCTTCTGCTCTAGCACGTCGCCCGTTGACTCGTCATCCATCTGCCTGAGGATGATTGTCTTCATCAAGATGCCGTCTGAGGAATACCAACTCGCTTGGTTCGTCTCATCAAAGTCAATCAATTCTTCCAGCCTGTGCGAGTGAAGTTAATGGGGCGAGACGTTGGCACGCCGCAGACAATAGCAGCAGTCTGTACCGCTGTAGGCCTGTGACCATTTGAGTTTGCGAGAACGATTGACGAGCCCACCTGTTTACGCAAGCACACGTAACAGACAGGAGGATTTGACGTGGGATCAGACCTGGATCGGGCGAGGATCTCTTAGGATTGGAGAGTCTATCAATCATGGTTCAGGGCGGCCGCTAGAAGATTTCGGGAAGACCTGGCCCGCCGAAGAAGCTCCAAGAGGTTGTCGTCTACGAAGTTTGTCCGAAAGATGGGCATCGATAAGGTAATACGGCTTGCGGCCTACAGACGAGGCTACAGTCGTTCATCAGGTCAACCATCTTGCCTCCGACGTGCACCATTCGTACGAGTCGAGCCCGTGAGAACAGGAACCACATGCGGGGATCGGGGGAAACGTGGCCAGCTAAATTGGATAGGCGAAGTGCCCTTCGTAGAGACCGGGACCAGGAGGGGAAAACGAGGCTGAGTGGGAGGCGAATCGGGCAGAACCTTGAGGCCGGGGTGTTTCTGACAACTGGGAGGACCCAAATACATCCGACTTCTCGAGCGCGTACCTGACTGAAATAGAGTGCGGATAGTCGTCAAGCCCCTGCGGCGCCTTTGCCGATGGGAGCCAAAGACCAATAAGGAGCTTGGGTGGAAGAAAAAAGAGTACGAATTAAAGGTGCCGCACTCTATTGAAGCTTTTCTTTCTGGTTTTGCTGGAATTGAGTCGTCGTCGCCATGGGGTGGGGGGGCCTGGGGGGTTTCTAGATGGCACTAGCCACAGGCGAGAATTCGAGGTCAAGGACGACGACGAGACGGGACCAGGTCGATTAACCCAAATGGACAACCTAGCTGCCCAGGTTCTCGAGACAAAGTTTTAGGGGTCCAGAAGGCCGAGAGAGACGCGAAAGGAGCGAGGCGAGATGGTGTGCCGCAGCCGGCGACGAACCAGTCATCCAGTAAGAAATTGGCATTACGATGCAAGTAGGCGATACTGGAGCAAACTCCCCTTATCACGGGATACTAAGTACTGGTTTGGCGTTTGGCGCCAGTCTGAAGTGACCGTTGGTTTGATAGTCGGAGCTGGTCTCACATGGCGAATCCTCGTGGACGGATGCAAATGTCGTGCTACCTGTCGTGCAATTTAGCATGTCTTTGCAAAAAAGACCGTGAGCGTGAGGGTCGTGGCTGCGTGGTTGATTTGATTGACCCCATCAAAGAACTTTTTGGCCTCTGAGGTGCATATGGGAGATTGGTTAGTGCGCAATGAGGGTAATGATGTGCAGCGGCGAAGAAGATGAGGTGGACTGGCGAGGGATTGGCGACGAAGGATGCTGGATCTGGACATAGTTGCCGGGCGCAGAGCGCAAAGTGGAAAATTGGAGTGGAAGTCGGCCACTGTCATCGCCATCCTCTCTCTACCGTGTGGTGTCGTTCCTTTGTGACATGATCGATCTCTCATGACATTATGGGTCCTCGAGTGCTCGAGACTCGGATAGGTTGTACAGTTAGAGTCGTAGCATGTAAGTCCTGCTTCATCGACGCATCCCCGGCTCCTCCGCGTATGCTGGCGAGAAATCAATACCTAGTACGGATGCTCTGTACGGATGCAGATGCTGAAAGTGTCGACAACTGGCACGGATGGTAGCAAGAGCTCATCGTCGTCGTAATCATCCACGGCCGGCAGCCGCCTGGCGCCGGAGCTGCCGCCTTCCGTGGGCCTCTTCCCTCCCCAAGGTTCTGGTCCAGTTACAGACGGAAGAGAGCGTCGAGTCTTGCTGTCTCAGAGTGCCTAAAGAGGTGCCTGGGAGGGGGGAACAGAGCGGCGCCGTGCGTGTAGTGAGTGCCTATAGTGTACTGTGTAGACTGTGGTTTGCGGCTTCTGCTGCTGGTTGCCGCTGGCTGCACACTACCACTGCCACAGGTGATTTGTGCTGCGGCGGGCAATCAACAAGAAAGCGGTGCTGAGAGTGAGGCTTTGAGGCTTTGGGGAGCCGGCTGAGCCACAGATCTGGGACGAGGGGGACCAATCTGGGGTCTTGTTTCCGCCGACACTTGCGTAAAAGTCTTGGCGGGCAGCCCAGATTGGTCTGGGGCAGATGCTGGAAATAGACCTCAGCCACGCCTCGTCATCACAGTTCGGGGCTGCCAGAGACCCGTCACAGTGAGAAAAGTGTGTGGGCGCGGGTGTGTGTGAGAGGTACTCCTTAGACCTCACGCCTCTGTCGTCCCTCTGAGTGCCAGGGTGAACCGTAAGAGCGAGGAATTGGAGGAGTGGAGGGCACGGAGGGGAGGGATGCGGTGCCCACTCGACTAAGGTTGAGAGGTGGGATCTGGCGCTGGCCAGTGACAGAACCTTTAATTAGGTACAAGCGAGAGGTACCGGTACATCGGATGCGACAGTGAGGCTTGTCCCCTTTGAATGTCCGTCCTCGTTGCCGTGTGGTGTGGTCTGCATTCTCGAGGTGAACGGACTAGCTAGGAGTACTGTATCCGAATGTAAGTGATGGTATTCGCGGATGGGGATGGGAATTCGGTGAAAACCTGCTCCGTACTTACATCGTGGTTGCCGTGTGTATTCGTACCCTACTAGTAATCTTTTAACGTTGGGTTTGCATTCATGGAGCTGCTGTGGACAGCAGACCGTGGACGTCCTCAGGTTGGTGTTTGTTTCTTTGCTTGTTTCCGCTTCATCATGTCCATCTGATGAACCTCTCTCGCCCACAACCCGTAGAACGGGTGCCAAGAAGAAGAAACAATATTGCCATCGTCGTCGCAGGTCGTCAGCCTCGCTCGGATTCGCAATTGAGTTACGAGCAGGTAAAACTATCGTGAATCGTCACCGGCAAAACATGAGTGTAATTTCAGCGTCTCCAGAGTTCAAGTCAGTATATTGCGTAGGTAGGATACGGAAGGGGGGCTTCTCCGCCCCCAGGGACCGTTCGGCCGTCGTCACCGGGGAGGATTGCGTCGCCGTTGCCTGGCTTTTTCTCGAGATTATTGCCCGCCGAGGCTACTCCGTCGAGGCTAGAGCAACGCAAGCCTTGGCACAAACGAGAGCAAAGGATGTGAAAGGACCGCAAAAGAGTCGCAGCTCGAAATTGTGCCCCTCTGAACAGCCCGAGAAGGGCTTGGCGCGAGAAAGGTATGTGGGAGGAGGACGGGAGGACGTTGGATAGGTAGGTAAGCTCGCGACGGCGACAGGGCAGTTACGTAAGGTAGACCAGCTCTATTCAGGATTCGTCACTAGTAGCCGGACCAGGTGCTTGTCGTGGGTGAAGCCGTAGGACACGGTGACTGGGAAGTCTGGAGAGAAAGAGAGCCGTCTGACTGATGATTGAGTGTTGTCGTTGGCCAGTGGCGGGGGGGGGGGGGGGAAACGGGAGTACGGGAGTACGTGAGCGAAAGAATCCGCCAAAATGGAGAAAAGAGCAAGGAGTTCGATGGCTGTGATTGGCTCAAGAGACTCGTGATCCCTTAGGTAAGATGGAGACGGTACGTACACAGTAGGTACGTACGAGGTTTAGAAAAGATACATGTCGCGAGGTACAGTACATCCGCAAGGTGCAGACAGGAAGGAGAGGGAAGGAAGGCACACACTGCCCTCAGTCTCTGGATTGCTCTTGCTCACTTGGGACAGAAAAGACGGAGTCGTGGTACGTGCCGGGGCGGATTGAGCGGGATCCACTCTGGAGCGATCTGGCCCCTGTCATTGGCCCGAGTTGCACAGCTTACGCGTAAACCGCCCATGAGGAGCCAGCCAGAGAGCGGCGTGCGTACGCTTTCTGCTGCTTTTCGCACTCCTCCCGCTCCCACCGTACACTCCCCCCCTCTGTTCTGTGCCTCTCTCTCTCTCAGTCTCGCTCACATCTCTTCCTTTCTCGCTACCATTCTCTCTGCCTCTTTTTCTGTCACCTCTGCCTGTCCAAAAGTCTACTCTTCTGAATACACCCCCCTCCACCCCCCCCCTGGACCTTGACCTTGACCCCTTCCACTTCCCTTGCCTCTCTCTCTCTCACACTCCTCACTCCTCTCTTCCACCTTACGCCTTACGCAGACGCAGCACACGCAACGCAACGCAACTTCTCTCCCACCTCTACCTACCTACGTACGCTCGCTCGCTACCTTACGGATACTGCTGGCGTACGTTACGTCCGCTCTTTTGCTCCCATCAATTCCCCTGGCGGCCCACTCCCCAATCGCACCCTCCTCTCCGCCCGCTACCAACCCTTTCAACACCCCCATCCCCCCCCATCCCATCCCTTCCTTCTCGACACCGCACTTCACTCGCCTTCTGAAATTCGATTCTCGATTTCTACCGACGACAAGGCACCGAATCTTGCGAACCAACAAATACTCTCCCATAGCGGCCACGATCGCTTCGCTGGGACTCGCATTCACCCTCATGACCGACGCCTGAAATACTCCCGACCGACCCGGAAGTCCAAGCTAGAAACTCTTGGCTCAGGAACTCTCGACAGTGCCGAGCCTCGACTCTTCCAACTAGCAGACGAGAAGCAAACCCGGCTTTGGAAACAACACCATAGGCAGCTCCAAGCCCGACTGGAAAACACAGCAGTTGCGCAGCCTTTGACGACTAACATTTTCGACGACAACGACTTCCACTCTTTAAGTCAACCCATCTCGCCGACCTGATCTGACACCAATACGATTCAACTACCCGACGACCACCGGGAGAGTTCCGTCGAAGACTCTCTATCCGTTTCTCCTCCTCCCTTCTTCGACGCCCTCAACATTAACATTCACCTAACCACCGACGACTTTGAGATGGACGGCCACGGTTACCCCCCGGGCGAAGGCCCCCCGAACGGTGATGGAGAGTACGGTGAAGAATGGGCTCGCGACCTGAGAGTAAAGTTCGAGTCACTTCTTCGTGACAAGCGTATGACCGAACTTCGAACTACCTCTCGCCAAGGCACTCCTCAGCCCAGAGAGAGCGCAAGCAGTGCCAACCTCCGTGGTCTCGCATCACCCGGTCCCGGTCGACCTTCAACTTCACACAGCTCAACACCCATGCCGCCGACACCACCCGCTTACTCTCGCCACCTTCCCAAGATTCCCACACCACCCGCCGCCCACGACCGCGATTCACAAAAATTCCGCAACCTGATGATCAGCCTTTCTCTCACTCCGACAAAGTACGAAAACCCTGGTTTATTGGACGAGGCTCTGCAGTGCATCCCCCTCGACCGGATATACGGCGAGGCGGAAGAGGAGTGCCAAGTGATGCAGGCCGAGGCTGAGAGTATGGGAGATGGACGCAAAGCCACTTGGGGCTACCAAGATTGCGTGATCCGCGCACTACTGAGGTAAGTTGGATGTTTCCACCTGAATTCTTTGAACACAGTCTAATCGTCTATTCAGATGGTTCAAGCGATCATTCTTCACCTGGGTCAACAACCCTCCGTGCCCCGTATGCCTTTCGCCCACAATCGCCCAAGGCATGACGCCCCCGACGCCCGACGAGAGTGCATGCGGTGCGCTTCGGGTCGAGCTTTACAAATGCTCAGCCGGAGATTGCGGCGCCTACGAACGGTTCCCCAGGTACGGCGATGTTTGGAGACTGCTGCACACCCGCAGAGGACGTGTTGGAGAGTGGGCGAACTGCTTCAGCATGCTTTGCCGTGCCATGGGAGGCAGAGTTCGTTGGATCTGGAACGCAGAGGACCACGTCTGGACCGAGGTATACTCCGAGCACCAGAAGCGATGGGTTCACGTCGACGCCTGCGAGGAGGCATGGGACAATCCGCGCCTCTACACCGAGGGCTGGGGTAAGAAGATGTCCTACTGCATCGCCTTCTCTATCGACGGCGCCACCGATGTCACCCGCCGATACGTACGCAAAAGCGATTTCTGCGCAGAACGCAACAGATGCCCCGAAGAGGTTCTGCTCTACATCCTGAACGAGATCAGGGGCCTGCGTCGCGGCAACATGAACAAGGATGAAAAGTTCAGACTCGAGAAGGAGGACAGCCGTGAGGACCGCGAGCTCCGGGGATATGTCATCAAGTCTATTGCCCAGGCCGTCACCGACCTCGTTCCTGGCATGCCCAGCCCTTCGGCGAGCAGCGCACCCCCTCCCCGTCAAGCAGCTCCTCAAAGACGCGACGACACCAAGCTGCCTGCTGAGCAGCCCGGTCGCCAGACCGGATCCGCGGAGTACCTCGCGGCACAGGCCAACGCAAACGCAAGGCATCACCAGTTCCCCCCGCACGACCCGAGCCGCCGCCGCGACCTGCCTTGAAGCATGAGCGCAAGCTTTGCGGCCGCGATTTAACCCACACGATGGCATACCCGCCACACAACCTCCTGCCGACCCGAGGCCACTTCTTTTGCGGGCTGGCAATATCTGCTACTTTTTTCAAGATACCCAGTAGATGCCAGAACCCCCCACCTCCATGGCCCCGAGGTCGTCGCCGCTCATCCGCCATGATGAGCGGCTTTTTGCACAAATGTGCAGCACCTATCAAGGCAATGATAATATTTTCTATGTCTAATCTACCTAAATCCGATACATTGAAAACAAAAAACAACGGCATCATAGACCGGCGCTCCGTCCCTATATATCAACTCGGTACCACTCTTCAGACGGCCGTACACATCTGATCGTCATCACCCTCTGGATATCGCATCGATCTCATCGGGCAACGGGGCTCGAAATGTATCTACCACCACCTCATTTACTTCGCTTCATTTCCTTTGTCGAAAAATATCGCGCGTTGGACATCCGCTGGATGTCGGCGATAACAGGCGCAACCATGGGATAGGCAGGGCTTGCCTGGTCACTTTTATAAACAAATCTGCCTCGCACGACACGAGGCAGAAGGGAGAGGAAGCCGGCGATCGAGGTTCGAAGCCAAGGGACAGCAATGGCTCACCATCGCGCCGAGGTTCTTCTGGAAGGGGCGTTTCGGGGACTTCCACACGTGTACGCTGGGTTGTGTTGCATCTTCGAGTCTTTTTTGCATGAGCGATGAAAGGCACCAGATACGCTTTCCATCTGGCCGAAATGGAGTTGACGATTGAAGAAGTTTTTTTTATTTACTTATTTTTCTCAAAGAGAACTTTTTGTTTCTCTTGTCCCTCTGAGGAGAGGACGTAGATGGAGACATCCGGACCGCGAGCTTGAGAAGCCATGTCCGCAGGATTTAGAAAGCAAATTTACCAAAGTTTGAAACGTTCAATATTATCTTCCTTAAGGTGCAATGTGAACACTCGACGAAGCTGGAAAGGCAATATTCATCCATCGATGCCACCTGATTATCCTCACATGCTCATCAAAATCCTGATGACCTTCATATTCAAAGAGGTAAGGGAAGCATGCCATCACGATCATGCGTTCATGTTCACGCCTTTACGATACAATTGCCTCACTGTCGGTGAGGTTGATGCAAGTTGACGCTGCGATGCATCTCAAAAGTGGGGGGTTTTGTTCGCAGTCCACTGTCCACCCCATTATTCTATTCAAGCCCGGCCTTGATCTATGATCTATCCCCGATTCACCCGCCCCGTTTCGTACCTTGACTTTTAGAGCGCAGGCTGTGGGATGGAATGGTTCCCCGTTGAAGATGGCGGCATTGGCATTTGGCATTGGGCTTTTTTGCCGCGCCGGGCTATGGTTTCTTGGCTGGGGGTGGCGCGACAGCTACGGCGGGTTCACCACCTGCCTAGGGCTTCCGTGGCTTCTACTGTGGTAAGTAGGCAAGTCATCAAGATCTTGGCCTTATGTGTGACGCAGCCACAGCCTACGTGATTCAGCCCAGGTGAGGCGAGGTATGCATTCAAGATTGGTTAGGCGAGACAAGGTAAGGCAAGGCAGGAGAGCACGTGTTGTGGGCGAGGCTCTTTCTGCCTCTGAGAGCCGTGATACCATACCGTAAGAAGGGGGGAGTTCCCGCCAAGGATTTGGGATTTTCGACGTAGGCGGTGCGGACTCTCTTACTCTCTCAACGGGCCAGGGATGTGAATTGGTTTTTTTTTTTTTCCAAGATTTTCCTGGTGCATGTGGTTATGGCAAGGGTATATTTGACGGGAAGGCTAGGAGGGGCGTTTATTCTCGCTACTGTTAGTCGAACGGGCGGGGAAGGGTGTTAGAGTCTCTGTACATATTTTAGAGGCGGCCACCGGGAACAGGGACGACATGGGTTTAGGTTTTCTTGAAGGAAACGGAGATTGGCATCAGACGAAGGGGGAGACGACATTCAATTAACGGAACGGGCGTTGGCGAATGGCACGGCATCCATCATCGGGAGGCAAGGCACGTAGTACGGTAGTAGGCAAGCAAAACAAGTAAAGACGGATAGGCGGCAGGGCTGGAGGAACTGAGTGAGAGGGAAAAATCGACAAAGGTTTGAAAGGGCTTGATGGGAAGCCGGCCGCCGGGTTGGCGTCTTGGCAATCCGGCAGTGCAACTGCACGGAGGTGGGGTTTCCCTCCCGGTGCCTACGGATACCTGACCTTCTCTTGTTGGTTGAGTACGGAGTACTGGAGACGGGGGATTTTCTTACTGTTTCTTGGGGGGATTGAATACGCGAGGAGAGGATGTGATGCAGAGTTGTGGATGGATTGTAGCAGTTGGAACTTGGAAGTAGAGAAAGTAGCAGAGTCGGGAAATCGGGATCTGTTCCTATGTCTTGTTTCTTAACTTTTGAAAGGTGTTGATGCGTCTGTCCGGATACCCGAGGTTTCCCTTTGCGACTGCCCGCGCAGGGGATGAATGTGGTGGTATCCCGCCGGAACAAGCGCCCGCGCCCGCGCGCTTGTACGTGTGTGCGCTACTTCGTACAGTATGGTATGATCGAATAGAAAGAGGTTCAGATTGGAGAGTATAGTGACGACGCAATCCCGCTCAACCACGTGATACCTAACAAGACGGAGAGGGAAGTGGAAGAAAAAAGGGGGGACACCTCGTGGTGGTGACCTTATTTGGACATAATCGTCCGGGTTTGAATGGGTGAAATTCGAAAATTGCACGAGCTCGTCGGACTTTTTGAGTTGTCCGATGATTGGGACGGGTGAACCACACAGTTGGAGAGCAAAGGTTCGGACATGGACCGCCGGGTGGACCGTGAGGTTTCGGTGATCAATGAAGCGGATACTGAGAGGAGAAGGAGAAACACTGAAATGTAGTGGTGAGAGCAAATCACGACAGAGGGAAAAAGGGGAGAAGCCAGAGATCAAGAATTGGCCGCTGGCACTGGGCAGCGTGTACTCCGTACCCTTGCTCCGTCGTCGTCGGCGGGATAGGCACAGGGGTTTAGGTGGTGACGAAGACTTGGGTCGGAATGTGGGGGGGAGCAGGGAGGGAGCAAAGACTCTCGAGACCGAACAAAAAAAAAATCTGGCGTAATTCCCGAGCGGCTAGTGATTTAAGGCTTGCGCGTTCCGTCTGGCGCCTTTTTGGTATCTTGTTCTAAACCCGTTTTGGCTATAGTGTCCCGTTCGTCCCAAAGTAGATAAGGCACAAAAGGGGAAAAGGATACTGAGGTATGGAGTAGGTTGCTGCACGTTGCGTACTTGCGGAGTGCCGGTGCCGACGGAACGGGGGAAGCCAGTGATTTTTAAGATGAAAGGGGGCATCGTCTTTTGAGACGGGATGGTGTGGGTATGGACCGTAGGGTGGTTGCACTGTTGCAGTAGGCAGACGGGTGGTGTTGTATAGATATTAAAATAATGACTGTACAGGAGGTGATAGAGCCGTGGTACGGGAGGTATGGGGCTAGTCCGACGGTGGTGATTGGGTGTGGTAATACGAGGTACGAGGAGCAAGCGAAGGGCTAGGCTGAGCGCCCTTCAGCCTTGAGGAGTGTGGATTGGGAAAGTCAGGTGACGAAATAGGTAAGTACATTGCTTCCGAGGTGCTGGATCTGGGAGTGTCGGAGATGGAGCTTTGCTTACAAATTGGGATCAAGCTTTATGGATCCAGGAGATGAAATGTAAACATCTGTGTTGTGGGTATTGCTATTGTTAGTGTGATCAAGGGCGGCTTTCGTGTTGTCGTTTCGACAAGGCATCATTTCTTGGTGAAGTATTGTTGAAAGATCACATTTTATTAAGCCTTCGATCACTTTTACTTGAGAACTGGTTGTTGACTTGAGGTGGCAAAGCCAAGGAGCAAAAGCTGACAAGGTCTGGTTGTTGTTAGCATTGAAGCATGAAAGTGATGTTTGATATTGTTTGTTTATAATTCTGAAAAGAGTGCAAATTCTGGAACTGTGTGTTTGGGTCTGTTGAAGAAACCTGAAATCTACATATCTATTTTGCTAAAGAAGATATATCCCTCCTCTTCTTCGAGTCATATGAATGACATTCATTCTCATGTTGTAGGTTCTTCACCCATGCCAAACATCTGGAAATGTGAACGAGGCATGAAACAATTGTTGACCAATGACAAAGCTGAAAGCAGACACTATGATCAGAATGGTAGTCTTACCTTGAGATCTCCATGAAGCTCTAGCTTGTATTCTTCCGCGTACTGGAATATTATATCGACGAAAATGAGAAGGGGATTGTGGCATAAAATCTGTCTGAGTTAATTTCGAATAGGCTTTATGATGAATGTATATTATCAATTAGAGATATGATATCTGAATAGAGATACAATTTCCGGCTCACCATGGCGATTAGATTTACTATCATGAAAATTGAATCTCAAGAACTTGGCTGTCTTGTGTAGGTAACTATAGCATGGTGAGTTTATTGGCCGCTTTAGAACGTAACATAACATCAGCCAACCCATACGCTTGGGTTTTCCCGAGGTGTTCGGACCAAGAACTATGTCTCTACACAGGACGTGATGGCATTTTAAATCATCACTCACGGTAACCTCGCGCTTGTTTGATATGCCGTGTCCGCTTACAAACTCTCTCCAGCCGCGGACTTTGAGCTGGCGGCCCGGGGAGATAGGGCGGCTGGACGAGCTGGACCAATAGCAGCATTGGCATTTGGCATAGCCAAGCCCGCATCAGCTAATTGGTATCCAGTTTAAACACGGCAATTAAGAATTCGGCGCCTGGCACGTTGCCGAATGATCATCGTTTCGAGATCATGAGGTATTCTACGACAGCGGAAAGCATGTCGGGAGGAAGAATAGTAGTCGTCGGGGTGCAGCCCGGGGTAAAGTGGGGCTACCGGGCTCACATGGCGGGGACATTGGCCATCCCGCATTTGCCGCTTGCGGGTGGTACGAAAACTTGGTACCAATCCCTCGTGGTCATCGTCTCAACTGATGGAATAGAATAAAGGTTTAAATATTTCCTCTCCGCATCGTGGCAAAGTAGGTTTTCATCCCTCGTCTCGAGGTTTCCAGTATCCCGCCCAACTTTGTATATTCCATTAAAACGTTCTTCTTGTCCCACCCGCACCCACGTCTCCTGCACGCGCCACCACCACCAACACCAAAAACCCGCAACCGCACCCGAAGATTTACAGCTCAGATCGCACAATGGCGGGCCACTTCCGCGCCTCGCTGGCAGACCCACCCGCCAAATCCTTCCCGGATCGGCCCCAGTTCTCGGCCTTTATGAAGCCGTGCCGCTTCGAGGGCGAGGTCCGGAATCTGGAGGTCGTCGGCACCGTTCCCGCTGAGCTGGACGGCGCGTTCTTCCGCGTGATGCCCGATCCTCAGTTTCCGCCGTTTATTGAGAATGACCCTGTATGTACTTGCGTCGCGGTGCATTTTCTTTGTTAATTTTGGTTCAATCGCTTTCTGATTTGCCAAGACACATTTCATTTTTGGTTTGAACTGTTAAAATATGATCTAACTCGATGTTAGTGGTTTAATGGCGATGGAAATGTGTCGGCGTTCCGCTTTCACAACGGCAACGTCGATTTCCAACAGAAATACGTGCGAACAGAAAAGTTTGTTCGAGAACGAGAGGCAAACCGAGCTCTAGCAGGTTAGTCAACTACATCCATATTTCTTCTCACATAAGGATCACGACTTCACGACTCTGACACCCTATTCTTGGCAATGATACAGGCGCATACCGAAACAAATACACAGACGCAGTCGAGTTCAAGGTCCGTACCACAGCCAACACCAACATCTTTTACTTCAACAAGTCCCTCCTCGCCATCAAGGAGGACGCGCCGCCGTACCTCATGGACCCGATCACGCTCGAGACAAAGGGGCTCTGCGACTTTGACGGCCAGCTGCCGAGCTGTACTTTTACGGCGCACCCCAAGCTGGATCCCGCCACGGGCGAGCTTGTGTGTTTTGGGTATGAAGCCAAGGGTGATGGGACACCTGATGTTTGTTATTTTAGCATCGCCCCCGACGGCAAGTTTCTCGAAACTGTGTGGCTTGTGGCGCCAGTCGTTGGTATGATTCATGATTGTGCTGTGACGGATAATTGGGTATGTGTTACTGGGAAAGCACAAGACTTTGGATTTGTTTGTTTGCTGACCTTAGTTATCAGGTGTTATTCCCGATGATTCCACAGATTTGTGATATTGATCGGTTGAAGGCGGGAGGGGAGCACTGGCAATGGGATCCCAACGTGCCCTTCTATCTAGGGGTCCTACCCAGACGCGGCGCCAAAGGAACCGACGTAAAGGTAAAAACTATACCGCTATCCTCGCCATGCTCTGAGTCTGAAAGCTAACCACATCTCTCTCTACTCCAAAGTGGTTCCGCGCTCCAAACGCATTCCCAGGCCACACCACAAACGCCTACGAGACCCCCTCGGGCAACATCGTCTTCGACCTGCCCCTCACAGACAAGAACGTCTTCTTCTGGTGGCCCGACGCCGAGGGCAACGCCCCAGACCCGCACGACATCCGCGCCGAGTACGTCCGCTTCGAATTCGATCCGCGCGCCACCTCAGACTCGGCCCTCGACCTCCCCGCGCCGACGCCCATCCTCCGCCACGACATGGAGTTCCCGCGCATCGACGAGCGCGTGCTCTCCAAGCCGCACCGGCACAGCTTCTTCGACATGATGGATCCCTCTCTGGGCACAGATTTCCCTGCCATCATGCCCGTGCTGGGAGGCGGGCACCCGCTGTATAATTCGCTGGGGCATCTTGATCATAAGAGCGGGAAGTTGGAGGTGTATTATCCTGGGTCGCGGCACATGGTGCAGGAGCCTGTGTTTGTGCCGAGGGGGGAGGATGCGGAGGAGGGAGATGGGTTCTTGATTGGGCTTGTGAATAATTATGGGACTATGTCGAGCGAGTTGCATGTTATTGATACCAAGAGGTTTACGGAGCCTGCGGCGGTAGTGAAGGTGCCTATGAGGTTGAGGGCTGGGTTGCATGGGAATTGGGTTGATGGGAAGGAGTTGCGGCAGTGTCAATGATGCCACTGGCGTGAAAGCACGTAGCGAACATGTCACTTGTACATTCAATGATGTCTTCTCAGAGGAGATACCTATGTGCAGGATTAAATGAGCGCGTACTGTGGAACTTCACCATCGATGCCGGTGTATTGACTGGTGTCAAAGATGTTAATGAAAGAGGCCAGATTCTGTCTCCTGACTAGAGTCTAGATCTCCATTCACTGCATCGTCGAACTCACATTCCCTTTCAACATTTTTCGACCAAAGTTACACTGTTGTCCCGATAGGTCCAAACCGGATGTTGGACCACGCAACTTTGCTATCGAAATATTAGCTACCACAAAGGATCTCGTACTGACTCTTCCATAGACTTACGCATTGGGATAATATCTCTCGACCTCTTGAGGTCCTGGTCCATTACCCAACGAAGGACAAGAGCCTCGCTGCGCTCCCGGAAGGCCCGAACGGTCCGGTGGAAATGTCGAATCAAGCCAAAGGTTATTAGCCCAGTGCTGTGTGACAAAGTTAGTGCGCTTTCAGGAAGGGAGGGGTGCTTTTGACTGATAGTGAACCTACATCATTCGAGATGGACATTGCCAGGACCATGGGGCGTCGCAGGGCCTCATTGTGACGCCCGTAGCCGCCGACTTGAGCGAAATACTCGGGATCCTGAAAGTTTGTGGGCAAAGCTTTGCAGTAGTCGGGACTCAGTCCGCTGGTGTCTGGGAATCCGGGGTAAGATGCCGTGGGTGTTTCGATCCTCTTTCCATCTTGGATGAAGAATTGCTTGACACTGTCTTCAGAGAACTGTGTGACTACACTGTCCAAAGTATTCGTATCAGTAACCACTCAAGGATTTCAGGCGGTTCTCAGAAATGTAAAGAAACTCGTGATGAGGGCCCTCACGTGAATTTCCTACCCGTATCTACCGTCTTTCCCTTGCCGTAAAATTCCTTGTCGCCAAGTCTGTATGGGTTGTAGTCGCATCCGAACCGGTCACATAGAACTTGACCCGAACCCCCTGTGTTGGCAGCATCACAGTCCGGAGCTTCACAGACTTGATAGCCGGTGTCGACGCAAGGTTTTGAGATCCTGGAGTATGAGTGAGCATTGGAGTTCCTGAATGTTTCGTGGCATTCTGTTAGTCCTGTCATCTTATTGAGTGCGCCCGGGTTCTTACCAGACGTTGAATTCGGCGCAGCAAGCCCCGTAATTTCCTGTTCCGCGGACCTGGTCGGTCTCTGAAGGTACCCAACCCTCGACATTTGCCTACACCAGTAAGGTCAGTCAGTCGAGACACACAAAGTGATAGGCACCAAGTAAACATGATGACGTGGACACTCACCTTCCCTCCGACAAAACGATTACTCCTCGGACAACTCGCATCACAATACCCAGTCCCATACCTCGCCCCCGCCTCATTAGTAGGATACCTCGCCATACCACCATCAAGCTCCATAGCCACAAAGTACAAAGCACTGTTGATAGCACACTCAACGGACGACAGCTCAACATCAAAAGCGAGTTCATTCCCCATCAGCACAAAAGTCTGATACCGATCCGTCCCACCCGGCTCCAACAGAAAGACGCGCGAGTTGACGTTGGAAGAAAAGGCATATTGCGTCACGAACTTTTGCGACAGGGTGTTACCCCCAATGGTGGTGATGCCGTATCCGTCTCTATAGCTCTGCGCGTCTGCTCCCTCGAGAGCGCATGTTGATGTGCAAGACGCGGTCGTGTTGCACTGCGCGAGGTCCCATTGGTTACCGGTGTAGCAGTTGCTGATGCTGTTTGCGTTGCGGAGCCAGCGCCATTCTGCGTCGAGGACGACTTCGGCGTCGATGGTGGAGCAGGAGGTTGTTCCGTTGATGGCTTTGCTGCAGTTTTGCCAGGAGAGTCTGGGGTGTTGTTCTGGGACTAGGTTGCCTACTTTCTGAGCGGTCGCTACGGTTGCGAGGGTAAAGATGATGGTGGGTAGAGGATGCATTGTATTCTACTGGAAATACTGAAATTGAATGCTTGTGGGACGAGTAAGACAATTTTCAGATTGAAAGCAGCAAAGTGAACTTTCCACTAGGTAGCTAGAGATTCGTGGGCACTTTATGTCCTAGCGAGATATCTAGATAGTGTGTTTTGAAGGTGTTGTATCATTGCAAAAGACATATAAAAGTAGGATGTTTACAGCCAAAGAAGAGACTTAAAAGAAGATTGGAGTATTGCTGTGGTCATCCGGGGGACCAGTGCAGCTCGTAAATGTAAGGAGCCGGAAGGTGCTCCTCCTTGCGGCCGACACCATAAAAACATGGTCTCGGCAAACCCCAATCTGACCAAACAGTGTGTCGACTGCTGACGTAGGATCCGGTTGAATATGAGAGAAAGTTGTTGCTGACATATGGTGAGTCTGCTTCTAGAAGACCCAGACTCATCGGGCGCTGCAACCTGCAGGTCAGTCCCAGCATGGCAGTCTTCGGGCTCATATTGCGAAAGCTGCTTCTCGAGGAAAACTTCTGAAAGCGGTATCTCGAGAGAATGAAAACCGAAGGAGGTCAGGTGCAATCTTTGAAGTATGTGAAGTTGTTTCGCCACGAATACAAAGGCTCGTCGTTCGGGGACGACCCGGTTCAAGGGTTCCGGGCGATGCCGACCGGAAAAGTGGACAGCCGCCTCGTTTTATCGGCCCCACAGTCACCGGGTCCCGATGAAGTGGAGTTCAAGTGGTCGGAGCGGTCGGCGCAAGCCGGATCCTAGTTGAGGGCGGAAAATACGTACTCCCGTGTTGTGGTAGAAAGTGAGGCACTGTTCGGTCGGCTGGTTTTCAACAGTGACTGGTATTCGCTGACTTGAACCCCATTACTGAAGATCTTGTCTTCAGAGTACGCTCGATTCCTCGTCACTTTCTTTGAGTTGATTGCGGTGCGTGAGAATTCGAGTTGTCAGTTCAATTGGAGCATGCATTGCAATTGGGTTGTTCTAATCACATAAGGCCCAAATATCCCTCTAGATACGCTCTCCCTTTTCGTTGAATCGTTGTACTTCTCCCGTGAGAAGAGCATCTTGCAATGCCCGACCAATCTCCATAACCTTGACACCTTTCTCAAGAGGCAGCGGAACAGGCTTGTTCCTGAGAACCGACTCCGTAAACTCATTCGCCTCCAGCGCGAACGCGTCCTCGAAGCGCTGCCAGTACTCGGGCTGCACCTCGTTGCGGATACCGAGCTTATCTGCGACAACGACATTATTGGCCCTCGGCACGACATTCACCGAGACTTTGCCCTCGGTGCCCGTGATCTCGGTACACACGTCATGACCGTGGGCCTGCGTGCGAGAGCAGTAAAAGTAGGCAATCTTGCCGCCCCAGAACTCGACGACGCCGACTCCGTTGTCGACGTCGTTCATCTGCGCGAGCTCCGGGTGGTGCTGCAGCGTGCCCGTCGCCCAGCACGACTTTGGAATTGGGTCCGAGAGGTACCAGAGCGAGAGGTCAATGTCGTGGATGGCGCAGTCGACGAAGATGCCGCCGTTGCGCGGGGCGTAGCGCACGAAGAAGCCGGTATTGTCGAGGAGGTCGCACGTGTTGGAGCGGACGATGAAGGGGCTTCCGATGGCCTTGTTGTCGAAGATCTTGGTGGCGGCGTCACGGTAGGAGGCGTCGAAGCGGCGGGAGAAGCCGGCCATGACTTTGAGGTCTGGACGGGCTTTGGCGGCGTCGACGCAGGCTGCGATCTAATACGGCGGAGAGAGGTTAGCTCAAGGTCTGCGAATCGTGCCTACAAGATGGGAGTGGGATTGGTGATGGTCGTACCTCATCCATCTTCGTACTCAAGGGCTTCTCACACAACACGTGGAGACCCTTCTTGATAGCTGCTAATGTTTGGCTTGCATGAACATCGGTGCTGGTGGAGATCCACACAGCTTGAAGCCCCGGATGGGAGAGCATCTCCTCGTACGAGCCGTACACTGTGACGTTGAACTCCTTATATTCCTCAAAAGAGCGCGCCCACTCCAGCTCGTGGGCTTCGGTGCTACAAACTGCCACTACAGAGGCTCTCGGGACGCGGTAGATGAGGTTCTGAACATGGCGACGACCCTATGTTTGTTGTCAGCCGGGGCTTGTCCTTAATTCGTGTCATTGTCACGAATGGGAATTTCTGACCATTCGTCCTAGTCCTGCTACTGCAATTCTGAGAGGTTCCATAGCTACTGATCTGTTGCGAGTGCGTAGAATTTCGGGTGTTTCGTTGGCGAAGGTCTGGCAAGTTGACTTCTTAATGGTACAATTAAGTCTCTGGACTTCATCTTTGCAGATGCCATTCTATTTATCCTCCAAGAATCTATTGCCATCTACTGCTCACGGCAAGAGCAATATGAATTCCGTCGAGAACCCATCAGAAAACATTTCGAGATGCCTTTGCGACGCATCAAGGCAAATGACTTCGCGTAGATATTTCCTCTCCTGACGAAAAGAGAGAATGATACGCGACCACAACGCTCGGTGGTGCATAAGGTGCGAGGGCCCCAACTCCCCCGCATCAAGGGACTACCTTTATCCACGCCGTCTGAGGAAGACTGATGGGATGAATGAGCGGGTTATCTGGGGAAATGGTCCAGTTGAATCCCCTCGATGGGTCAGTCTGGTCTGTCAGCCAGCGTGTAAGTCGTTGGAGTTCCTTCGGCCATTACTCGGTGCAGCCGCTGCCTCCCCCGCGTACGGGGATGCATGATGGATGTGTGGAGGAGATTGGGGTGAGGAGGGGAAAAGAACAGGCCGGTTGTCGATCAGTCCAAGACCATCGCCGACGCCTACCAAAATAGGTAATTTTGTCTTTGTCCACTAGCGAAAGCGAAGTCTCGCCAGAAAGTGTAGCGTTTCAGGAACGACCCAATGACGAGGGGCGAAATATAAGCGGCGTCTGGTGGATTGCAGTCGGGTATCTGCCGGATTGTGAGTGCCGTGTCTACTCTGTCCTTGGTCGGTTCCTTCAAGTTCCTACGGCTGAAAGAAAGACCTCTCGAGGTTGTGCCTCGATTCGAGTCAGTTGATGTGTTTCTGAAATGTATGTATGTGCTATTCTCGGTCAGGAACCCGCTTCCTGCCAAGACCACAGAAGGGTCAAATGGCTCGGTGTTGACGTAGCCAGCCCTTCCGCCGGCAACCCAAGAACGCCATATGAGTGTTATGACCATCTATCGGAATTTTCCGACGGTAGTCCTACAGGTAATCCACGGATCATTCATGATGAGTGTAAATCACTTCGGGAAATGCTTGTGAGTTTGAAGTGGTATCTTGATATTCATATCCCATAGCCCGTAATCGTACTGATAAATGTACAAAGGTGATCAAAACGAAAGCCTGCCTACAGTAATGCCATGAAAAACGCCTCCCGCAACTAGATGCTGCTATGCTTGATCAAACAGAGTACTTAGCTCCCTCCACCCCAGCACCGGTCTGCGGTTGCGCACGCTGGGCGAGGATCTGCTGCCGGATAATATCCTTCTCCTCCTGCGCAGAAGTATCCTTGAAGACCTCGTCCATCTGCTCCAGCGTCCTGCCCTTGGTCTCGGGGACGAGAAAGAAGGCCCAGACGGAGGAGAGGAAGCACCAGGCTCCAAAGAAGACGTAAGTCCCAAACCCGAGCTTGTCCATCATTGGCGGGGTCGCAACGCCGACGATGAAGTTGAAAAGCCACACGGTCGCGGTAGCCAGGGCAACACCCTTGGAGCGGTGTGAGTTGGGATAGACTTCTGCGGGAAGGGCCCAGCCCAGAGGGGAGTAGGAGACTCCGTAAAGGAGAACGAAGAGGAAGGCCATGGCAACGGCGGCCCATCCCGCAGCGGTATTGGCGCTCCAGTTCTTGGAATATACACCTGTGAGGATTGCCATGATGCCCCATGAGGTGCCGCCGCCCAATCCACCGAAGATTGCCAGCGGTCTGCGTCCCACTTTGTCGATGACGAAAAAGCATACGCACACGGCGACGAGCTGTAGGACGTTGAATACACCGGACATGACGAGCGCCATCTCCTCCGACTGTCCGAGAGACTGGAATAAGGTCGGGGCGTAGTATATAAACGCGTTTATTCCGCTTAATTGTTGGAATACGGCCACGCCGACGGCGACCGCCGTACGACGCCAGAGACGCGGGGAGAAGAGGTCCAGCCAACCAGCGAGTTCGAGCCTCAGGCCACGTTTTCCGGGGTGGTACTTCTCCTGCATGATCTTCTGCACTTCGACCTCACTGATGATGCCACGGTGCTCAGCCTGAATGCGGTGGTCGTCGGCGGGCAGTCGGCGGAGGCGGACGAGGGAGTCGAGAGCTTCCTGGGGCCTGTTGACGAGGGCGAGCCAACGAGGAGAATAGGGGTAGAAGAGGATGCCGATGCCGAGGCCGGTCGCGCAGACCATCTGGAGACCGAGAGGGAGACGGAAGGCGATCTCTCCGGTCATGTGACGGGTTCCGTAGGTAATGAAGAAGGAGACGACGACCCCGAGGACGATGGAGACAGATTCGAGCACGAGAAGAGTACCTCGAAGGTTAGGTGGTGCAATTTCGGAAATGTAGATTGGAGAACCCTGTCATCGAGATTCATTAGCCCGTGTTCGTTCTCACTATGAGACAAGACGGATTCAAGAGAGACTTCAACTCACCATTGCAAGTGTTCCGACGCCGATACCACCGATAGTCCGGCCAGTGACCAAAACTCCATAATTCGGCGCAGCGGTCTGCATGATAGCACCAATGTTGAAGATGACCACAACGGCCGCTAGCGCCCTCTTACGGGAAATTTTGTCGGCCAGCGTAGGCATGAACAAACACCCGAGGAACGCACCAAACTCGAGCATGCCCGTCATGAAGCCCTTGCCGAAGGGTGTTGCGGCTTGTGGGAAGACATCGTGGAATTGCTTCATGACGTTGATGATGGAGATAACGCCCTGGTCGTAGCCAAAGGAGAAGCCACCGAGCGAAGCCAGGAGAGCGGCGCCGCCGACGTAGGGAGAATCGGCGAGGCCGCGGAAGCCACTGCGGCCGTAGGATACATCTTCGGCGGGGTTGAGGTTGATTTCGACATTGTCGATGAAGTCCTCGACGTGTTCAGGGTTGTCGAGGCTTTTGGCTTTTTTCAGGGAGTCTGAGCTGGTCGCCATGGCTGCGATCTGATGGGTGTTAATGTGTGCTCTAGGGAGGAATGAGGATGAGACCACGGGGATGAGGCAATCACAGCCGCGGAAGGTAGTATTTGAGAATGGATGATGGGGTCAGAATGGGACGAAGATCAGAAGTCAGCTGAGACGAAGAGGCTCTTATATACTAAATATGTTTCTGGGGGCTTGGTGTTGAGGACTAGGTAGATGGACTACCAACGGGTAGCGCAGTGTTAGACCGGGACACGACAAGAACCGGATTTCTGGGGAACCCCATCCGTTTACAGACTAGGGGGGCGTCTACAATGTTGCGTGAGTGACTGAGGGCGTCGAGGGTTCGTGCCAGGACTCTCTGTCAATTTCCCGGCGACGACAGACTGCGGGCAGCATTAACGCTCTCCACCGGCAGAGTGGAACACACGGCCCTCAGGTTGCATCTCTCCCCCACGGGGAAAGGTGGAGTCTCTCTCCATGTTGTGTAAACCTTCGAGGCCTTTCGCGGCGAAGGGCATGGGGAGGAGGGTAACGGTGGGTGGTGTGGGTGACTAGCACGCACTCGAGGCTTCGGTCTGGACGTGGTGAGCAAAGAAGGCAAACAGTGGGCTGAGAGTCAGGACCAAGACCATCATCAAAGACAGCGAATATCTCATTGGTTAGGCCTGGGCTTGGACTGCCTGCGGGCTGCGGCTGGGCGTCATGACAGCGGTCTTTTGGCCGAAGGTTTTCCTTTTCAGGAACCCGTCGGCGATGAGGCCTTGCCCGCCCCCCTCAGCTGCCCCGCGACGCTAATGTCCATTCTTAGTATAGTGCTATATTCTGACTTTCTGAGACACAAAAGGAGCCTGGACAAGGGTGCTTGGTTGGCTGGAGTCGGGGAATCGGGCGCTGAGTCGAAGAGACTTTGCCAAGGGGGATCAATAATGGTCCGTCGAGCACCAACCAATGTTGTGGACTTGATGCCAACTTGGAGGATACTGAATTGAAGCGTTTGGTTGTCCTTAATCGACTTGCTATGACGACATGGGCTCCATCTTGCCAAATGTGTCTTTTTGCTAGGGCCGGGGTTAGTCGGGATACAATCCCGCGCCCGTCGAGAGAATCCGGAGCCTCTTGCACCCCCTGGTTACACCCTTGGGGTTCATCGGTCTGCTTTAGGTCATTGGAGGAGGTGATCACCCTTACTGACTACATAACCCGCGGGATTCGATTTCCGACAACACGCATACCAACGGGAACTCTTAAGGAAGGGTTCATCCCCCAGCATTTCTATGGGCTATGAATGCGCTGAGAAGATTCTATGAGGCGACTTGGTCAACTTGCGACAAAGATCAACCAAACGTGAGTTTTGCTAGGAGTGAGTTGCCCTATTGGAGAATCCCGCGGGTTTCTGTCCAATGCGGCGGTGTCAGACATCACCAACAACAAATCAGGGAATTTCAGGCACGCGGGTGCCAAGGACAATCCCTACTCCGATCCCGCTCGCTCCCGAATAAGTAATTTCCTGACTTGCTGCTTTCGATTTCGTAGGCCTTCCAACGTGGAATCATGGGTAGATAATCTGTTCGAGTTACCATTGGTAGACATGGGCGATGATGGGGTCGACCGGGGCTTTAAAGATGGATCATTCGGCCAGACGCAAACCAGCTGAGAGTTCAGGCTCTCACCAATTGACGTTCATTTGCTTACTGACAAGGGAATCTGAAACTACGTCATTCATTAACCCGGGCGCATTTGATTGTGGATTGCGATACTGCAATCAGATGAAGACCAAAGAAGTAGATCGAAGCCGAGTCAATTATGAACCCACTGGCCCCGTGACCACGGAACCCCCCCGAATTCATGACAAGGGCGAGATAATGACGAAGAACCGCATCGTTTTTACTATCAAACGTGTCTAATTTGAGCACACATGCCCCCACGCGACTATGAACATGCAAGGTCTTGAAACATCGTCAATTCGTCAAGGTAAAGTAGCTCTAATGTCGTCACCAAACATCAACGCGCCTACGTTCCCATCTACTACATAAGACGCGCGATTCTATGCTCATGTTACTCCATCTCGATCTCTACAGCTTAGCACTATCAATGCGCTTGCCTGACTCGTCGAAATCAATCTTCTTTCCAGTGATCAAACTCTCCTGCAGCGCGCAACCAATCTTGACGGCGTTGACAGCACCGGCAAGCTTCATGGGCGGCTCGGTGTTGTTCAAGCAGCACGCTGTGAACTCGTTTGCCTCGGTGATGAAGGCCTCGCGGAAGCGGCCATAGTAGTCGGGAGGGATCTCGCGACGGATACCTGTGGGCTCGTAGAGGTTGACGAGGTTCAGCTGGGGCTGTGTGTTGACGGCGACCTTGCCACTTGTGCCAAAGATTTCGGTCGTGTCTTCTTGGCCCGCGGCCATCATGCGGGAGCAGAAGAGCTGGGCAATCTTTCCACCCTGTAGTTACATGTGGTTAGCTTGAATTAACTACAGTGTCTAGGGACAATTGGTGAACTTACGTAGAACTCGACAACAGCAACAGCGTTATCTCTATCGTTGTGCTTCCTCAAACCCTCTTGCACAGCTGTGATGCCGATAGCAGACACACTCTTCACAACGCTGTCTTCTCCAAAGAACCAAAGCGCCAGGTCAATATCGTGGATAGAGCAGTCGACAAAGATGCCACCACTGAACTCGGCATAGTCGACGAAGAAGCCGGAGGGGTCGAGCTTATCACAGGTCTGTGAGCGGAAGACGGAGGGCGCACCAATGTCGCCGCGAGCCACTCGTGTGAAGGCATCTCGGTAGGATGCGTCGAACCGGCGTGAGAAGCCGCAGATGACCTTTTGGCTGGGGTTCTTGATTAGGGACTTTTCGTACGCCGTGACGACGGATTGTGACTGTGAGAGACGGAAGTTAGTCTCTCGACTCTGCTATTTCCAAGGGGCAGCATGGAGTGAACGTCAAGTATTAACGTACAATATCGACGCTTGTGCTGAGAGGCTTCTCGCACAGAACGTGTAGACCCTTCTCGATGGCCTTGATAGCCTGCTCGGCGTGTACTGTGGTAGCGCTGGCGACGATCACGGCTTGAAGAGTTGACTCCTTGCGCAACATCTCGTCGTAGTCGAGGTACGTCCGCAGAGGACCAAACTCTGCGACAGCAGCATCGAGTTCAGCCTGTACCGGCGAGCTGACGGCGATGAGATCGGCCTTTGGTGTCAGGGTCGCAAAGTGTCTGGCGTGTCGCAGACCTGTTTAATCCAGTTGTGGTCAGTTTATGTTGGAGTCGCTCGAGCTCAGCAGTAGAGCTTGCTTTTTCGCTGAGGTAGCTATGAGAGCTACCCCTCGGCGGAATGAGGGGCGAGACATACCCATGCGCCCGAGTCCGGCGACGGCAACGTTGAGCTTTTCTCCAGCCATTTTGTTTTAATTGCAAAAGTTTTAATGAAAGATGTGTTTTGGGGGCTCGAGAGAGTCAATTGAGTTTCAATTCTCGCAATCCGTCAAGGTACACGTACGGGTAAGAGGTAGAGAGACCACAGCAATACAGCCCAGCTTTCAACCTCGAGGAGCTTTGGGTGAATACGGTCTCTTTTATCATCGGCGGCTCTTGCTCTTCTTGGTTTCTTCAGGAAAGTCTCCAGCAAGCCAAATGGACACGTTCTGAACGACTCGCCCCAAGACACCGAACGCCATCCCAACGCCGGCGGGCAAGAGTCTCGTAGAGTCCTCCAACACCTTCGAAACTCGGCATCTCTATCGGCGCCTCTTACCAGATACGGCAATCCACAACTCTCGTCCCCAGATTTAGATCGCGTCCCCAGAGTTGGCGGCAACTTTGTGGGGGAAGAGGGCTTGGTGGTGCGGGGTAGATTAAACACATAAGACCGGTTGGTCCTATTTTCTATGAAGAGTTACACCGCATGTTTTTGGTTATTTGTCTTGTGTACTCTCCGAAGACCGAGGGCGCTTGATGCACGTTCATCTTTGCGGATTAGAGCTGTTTGTTTGCGCCGACCACGTTTCACGGGACCGGACGGATGCATCGGCGAAGCCAAGTTTCTCCACACTTCTCAGATTACTTCTTCCAGCAAGCGTCGCCGATGCTCCGCTTCTTTCTTTCATCCTCTTCCTCTTCGTCCGCCTATTCTAGCCGCCGCCGACGGTTTCGACTCCCCACAGCTTCTGAATCACGGGCCACAAGGCAGGCGAGACTTGCCCTTCCGAGTTCGAAGAGGGAAACGACATAATATCCCCATCCCACCGGCCGGCGACGACAAGCAGGTGTCACTTTGTCAGATCAATCTGAGGAGGACCAGCAAGCTGTAGCCGTGGTCAATCTGCGTCAGCAGTGCCCCGCGCTCATCCCCGCGGGAGATGCCAAGCGCCACGAAGCCATGCGCAAGATGCAAAGGTATGTGCCCGGGCGCGCGCGTGCGCGTGTCTCCATACCCTCGTGACCTTGTTCAGGGTCCCACTGGTCTGACGTCAACTTATCTGGGGTAAAACAGAGCGACATGAGAAGTGTAAGTTGCATAGAGTTTTATTATCTGAAGCTGCGTTGCCGGGGTCGAGACTGGGGTTATGATTCTCAGTCGGAAACGATCACAGTCTGCCAACCTTTGGCAAGCCATCTGAAGTCTATCTGGGTATCTGACAATGATTCGACACTTTAGGCGATGACCAGCAACCCCGTTGTAGTAGATGCGAGAAGCGCAACGTTGAGTGCTTTCGTCCTGAACGACGACCTTCCTTCCGCCAGGGTTCTACTGCCAACTATGACGGGACCTTCTCCCGGGAGCAGCGCTGGGTGAACAGTCGACCTCGAGCTTGTAAGTCTTAGCCACCTAGAAGAGAATTGCCCTGGGGCGATGCCATCGATCTCGACATTCTGACTGGCGTATAAGTCCGATTCGACAGTCGAGCGCCGAACAGCACTCCTGCACCGACCCAGGAGAAGGACATCAGCAACGACTCTCCCGCCAGTCATGAGCCATCGTTACCAGATACTCGGGTTGCTACGAGTGCCAGCTTACACGAAACTGTTCGAAATCTTCCCGAGGAACCGGCGCTCGTGAACCATGATAGAGGTGTCGAAGACATTCTACCACCGCCAATACCGACGCCTTCTAAACGTCGAAGAACCGAGCCTGCGCCGCAAGATGGTGGGCACTTCTTTCCTGCTTCGCCAGCAGGGTCAGGAGCATCGGGTGCTTCTCCCTGGTCAAATGCAGCTTTGTCAACTGGGAGAGTGCGATTGAGAGAAGATGAAGTATCGATACACAGTCCTCATACCGTACCTCAAAGCGTCGACCACTTTTCTCCTTCCGCCGGGAGTTATCACACCACGAACCAAGATCATGATCTCGTCGGGAGTATACCAAACGCTCCACTACCCGAGGGCATCCAAGAAGCTTGTCTACTACGATATTTTGTAGAAGAGCTATCTCAATGGGTTACGTGCCACACAGTTGCAAGAGCACACAAGAAAGTACAATAGTTAACCTTTTCTCGCGTGTAGTTCGACCTCTGCGACGAAGAGAGGCACTTCCAGCTCGTCGTTGTAAGGCGCGCACGCTCGTGCCAGCCCCTACGCGACGCCATCTTCGCCGTCGCAGCACGCCATCTATGTCGACATCCCAAGTTCCGGTCAGAGCCAGGGGGCGGTGGCGTCGTTGTCTACCAGCGCCAGCTTCTCCCTGACCTGACGCCGCAGAGTGCCTTCGAGTATATGCTCCGTTGCATACCCGCACTGCACGAGGTCTCAAGCACGCAGGACGAGGAGTACCGCGAGAACCTGGCCGCCGCAGCGCTTATTCTTCGCCAGTTCGAGGAGATGGATCCCGAAGAATCCCAAAGCGCGCCGAGTTCAGATTTTGGGACCGCGAACGGGGACGGGAACGGGACGAGTTATGGCAACGCGAATAGCAATGTCAACTTTATCGATATCACAAAGGCAATTTTGAGGGCCGCTCCGTCATCGCGATGGTCTGGACTTTTGAGCGCTGTGTACTGGGTAGCGGTGAGGCAGGAGATTTACTTTGCGCTCACGCTGGGGCGATCACCTCAGATCACGGCAAGGCCGGATCAGGGCCGTGAAGTGTCGTTTGCCAATCGGTTGATATGGTTTATGTCGGAGGTGGCCAAATGGAAGATGGGAGACAGGATTGAAGGGGAATGGGGTAAGCTTTTCACTTATGCTTCCGTGGTAGACCCCAAAATGTCTGAGCTCTACTCAATCACGATAACTGACGTAAGCCATCCAGAGAGACTGAAAGTTGAAGAGGGTATTCTTGCAGTCGAATGTACACGGCAGTTTATACCCATATTGCAGAGGCCAGCGGACAGGTCTCAGGGCGAAATATTCCCCTTGGTCTGGTACGGCTCTGATGTGGAAGTTACTGCGCTACAGCATTTCATCTTGGCTAGGATGATTCTCCTAGCCGAAGATCCTAGCCTACAGTACGCAGACGCCCCCTACTTCCCAACATAAATAGCTGCACTATGCTTCTATGACTCCTTCATGATTTTCGAGGATTATGCTGACAAGTTTGGGCTTTCAGTGGACAAGTCTCCAATAGGCGAGCGCATCGAGAGGCCGAACATCAAGTCCGAGAAATGACATTAGAGCTATGTGGTCTAGCTATGCATCATCTGAGAGCACCGCCAAACTTGACCACAGCAGGTATAGGGATCATGTTATACGGGGACTATTTCAACGACCAGTGGGAGAGAGCGGCATTGGTTGGAGTGCTGGAAGAGTGGAAGAGCCATCACGCTTGGCCTGTGAGAAAGGGGTACCAAGCACTCGGTGCGGACTATGTCCCATGAATGTTACATTCAAGAAACCTCTGTACGTCCATCGTACACAGAGACAGTGACTGTATTGGTCAAGTAATTCTATGATACCTATATCGAATGAGTGAACGGTAGGCCGAATTCGGCGTCCTACTTGTCTCATAGGTAGTTTAGCTGCATGAAAGCATCTATTCCAAGGTTGAATTTTGCGTTGGATTGGTACTTCCGCGCCATTGACATCAAAATACGGGCGAGACTTTTCCTCGCTGCTGGAAACGACATGGACAGTCCTTATTGATCAGATAGAATTCGAAAGTTGAGCCAGCCATGGCTCAGGCTTTCAATGTCAGTGATCTTCCCCTAGCGCATTCGTAAAGTTGCGGATCAAGCCAAGACAATAGTTTGAGGGCAATAAAGACTGGCTACATCGATTATTCGACCGGGTAAGCCCGAAAGATCTGCAATGCGCTGTTAGACCCAGACATCAGTTGAGGTACATAAGGTATGCGACTTCCACAAGGGTGTTGACGATCGATGTGTTGACGATGCTTGGTGCCTGGCCGAAGGAAAGCTGCCAGCAACCAACTGCGCGGCGTTGTCCCGATACCTCGGCTCAAGAGTCTTGTTACCCCGGTCCGGACGTACCTACTCCTGTGGTGTGACGGGCATCGCATGATCCCAAGGGCGGCATCGCGAGGTTACGCCATTTGCGGGTCTGATTGCCAATTGGGCCCGAAGAGACATGTTTAAACGAATTTCTACCAAACGCTTCATAAAACCTTAGGCCTTGGAAAGTTGTAGTTCAAGAACCCAAACTGTCAGTTGCACGTGTACTCCATACTTGTGAAGTCTTTCAATTTTGCTGATCCCCGGCCGGATCCGAAGAAGAGCCAACCTCATTGGCGCGCGTCTTTAAGCTTCGGCAATCACCCATCAACATGGCTGGGATATCCCCACACAAATCCCCAGATCTCAACGGCAATGAACTAAGACGCGGGGAATGTAACACTGCCCTCGGCGAGCTTTTGACCGATGTGACGGCCTTTCTATGAGGTCACATTGCTGTCTGCGAAAACAAAACACACCATACGCGCCAATGATCACGGTGTCGGACCTGCATGTGCTGTCAGCTAACCCCAACGCGGCCACTCTACCGTCTTGGGGGTGGATTCCCATCACTCGTTTACGAGTCACGAAATCAAGGAAAGCTTTCTTCCGAGCTTGCGAAGCTATTGATGATGATCAGGTTGACATTGTCTTGGCGTTGACATCGTATCCCCTCTCTCGAAGCTCAATGGCGGCGGCGTATATAATACCCCGCTGCTCGAGCAATGCCGGCTCTCGTCGTCCCTCAAGGCACCTGACTCTCTCGCCGTCGGCCTCATCATCTCTCCCATTTTCCACGAGATCAGTGTTCGGAAAATCACATCATGAAGTTCCTCGGAGCCGCCGTTGCTGGCATTGCCAGTCTGCTCTCCTACCAGGCTGTCGCGAGCCCTGTCCCAACCCCAGTCGAGGCCCGTCAAGCTACCGGAACCATTTCGAACAATGTCATCTTCTCCCCGCCATCAAACGCCGGCTGGGTCGACCCCCGCGTGCTGTACGCCCGCACCATCCAGCTGGACTCTGGTGACCTGATCGCCACCTGGGAGAACTACTCTCCCGAGCCTCCCATCGTCTACTTCCCCGTCTACCGCTCTCAAGACGGTGGAGCCACCTGGGCTGAGATCGGCCGTGTTCAGGACACCGTCAACGGCTGGGGTCTGCGCTACCAGCCCTTCCTCTACGAGCTCCCGGAGGCTTTCGCTGGCTATCCCGCCGGCACTATCCTGCTCGCTGGCAACAGCATCCCGACGGATTTGAGCTTGACCAAGATCGATGTCTACGTCAGCACCGATGGCGGTGCCAACTGGGAGTTCCTCAGCAGTGTCGCCAGCGGAGGCGAGGCCCTGCCCAATAACGGCCTGACTCCCGTGTGGGAGCCTCACTTCTTGTAAGTCTATTTCCCGCTTTACGGACATAACTTGTGATCTTCGCTGACCAATCCTTCCCTACGCAGGCTCTACAACGGCGAGCTCATCATCTACTACGCCGACCAGCGCGACACGAAGTACGGCCAGAAGCTGTCCCACCAGACCACCACCGACCTCAAGACCTGGAGCGCCATCGTTGACGATGTCCACGATGACAACGCCTACGAGGCACGCCCTGGCATGCCCGTCATCGCCAAGCTGCCCAACGACGACTTCATCTTCGCCTACGAGGTCTGCGGTACCGATGGCTGCCGCGTGCACTACCGCCTCACCGCCGACCCGCTCAACATTCTCGCCGCTCCCAGCATCTCGCTTATCTCCACCTCCGGCACCCGCCCCGTCAGCTCGCCTTACGTCGTCTGGTCCCCCGTCGGCGGTGTCAATGGTACCATCGTGCTTAGCGGCGGCAGCCAGTCGAATATCTTCGTCAACCGAGCTCTGGGTGATGCTAGTGCTTGGGTGGAGTATGCTGTTCCCCAGCCTAACGCTTACTCTCGTGCTCTGGCGGTGCTTGATGATGGTAGCAAGTTGGCTATTATTGGTGGTGGAAGATTGCCTCCTAGCAGCACCAACCAGGTCAGCATTAGTGTTGTTGACCTAAACAATCTGCTTGGATTGTAGATACATGTAGCCAAGGGCTTATGCTAGTAATAAAATGAGAAAGTCATAAAAACTGTCAGTGCCTTTTCAAACGTCTGTATCAAGACGCTATATCTTTGAGATATTATCCTCACTTCATTGGGCGTACAGTAGCACATGCAACGATTAGATACTTAGCTATGCGTCAATACCCAATTCGAATGACACAGGACACCATCAGGCATTTTTGTAGTACAGCATGTCTTAGTGGCTCAGCCACGACGTGCATGCAGGACACGTCAATCTCTACCAATCGCGGCTGCATCAGGTGTCGAGGTCTGCCCAAAGTGTGGCTGGACAACAAGCAATTTGCCTGCGAAGATCCCTTCAAAACAGCGGCATGCCCAACCAGTCTTCTCCGGAGCCTGATGTTCTTAATCCATCTAAAGGAGCGCTGCCTCAGTACAGCAACTTTCAACCGCTACCCATACAACCGTGGCTTACCAACCTTTGCACATCCCAAGATGTCGATTGGCTTCACATTTGGCAGTTTGGGAGACATTCTACAGCTTTGCCAGATTGGTATTGCCGCCAGCAAAGCGTTAAGTCATACCGGCGGCAGCGTTTCTAATTACAAGGACTTACGAGACGACCTCGATCGATTCGTACAAATCCTGCAAAATGTAAGTGGAAAAATCATGAACAGACACAAGGGCTTTCGAGTATATTAGTAGTAGTAGTAGTAGTATTTAACATCATCAGGGACAGCGGCCGCAGCCGCGATTAACCAGAGCGCCCTTTTAAGTATATAATATACTATACCGCCTCTATAGATATATAATAAATTAAATAATTTATTAATATATACTTTTTTCCTTATACCTAAGCTAAACTATTACTAATTTAACCTCTTTAATTTTAAAAAATACGCTAATGTTACGGCCAGCTAGTCGTAGTGAGTATGTTAGCAGAAGTTGAGGCTGCGATAACTAAGTAAACAGTGTCGTAGTCGTGGATAGCTTCCCTGAAGCTATGTCTGTAAATCGTAAGGTGGGTAAGGCTTCGGTGATCAATCGTAGTCTTGTCAGAAGGGGTTCTCAGTGAAGATAGCTGAAAGCGATCGTAAGATCTGATACTAAGTTGATTGCTGAAGAAGCTATGGAAGTCTGTCCTTGTGCCCGGCTCAAGTCCACACTATATACAAGTCTCGTTCCTGAACATATTCTTTGTCCGTATGTTTACCCAACGGTTCCCGTGTTCTGAACATACGGGTTCCGTATCGTGAAAGGACGGACCCCGTATCTCGAACGTACGGAGTTCCTTATCTCTTATCGTCACGTGACTTGTCCCATAGTTCTTCCGTCCCGAGAGGAGTCGCCCTGAGTTCGTGTTCCCGCATATATGGTGTGGTAGCCGCCGTAGGTCCTGTGGGGCAGGCCCTGGCCTTGTCATGCGTGTTGGGTCGTAACATCAGCTCCTCTCAAAGGTCTAGTCCTCTAGGCCTATAAGTAGGTCCCTTGTTCCCAGGTTGGGGAATCATCAAGCTTGCCTTTCTAGCGCAATGTGCTGACACGATGTCAGGTCGTGTTGAAAAACGTTCTTTGAAAAACACTATCTCGAAACTTCGGTCGGCTTGTGACGACGTGTTTGATCGTTTTGGTTCTAGCGACGTTATGCCCTGCACTCGGTGTTTTCGCGCCAAACGTCCATGTCGGATGGCTGATGGCGCCAAAACGTGCCAAGGCTGCAAAAACCTGAAGCGTTCTTGCGATGGTCTCGTTGTGGCATCGAGTCGTTCGTGCTTCCGCCGTTGTTCCGGTTTCTTAGGCTGACTATTTCGTAGTGCAACGGCTGAGTGACCAGCGTCAAGAATGGAAGAGAAGGAGGAGCAGGCTAGCGACGCCTTGCTCGATCTTCATGAAAAACTGGCTCGGATACAGTCAGAGGTTGCTGAGGCAGCGGGCCGTCTTGCTCGTATCCGGGCGATCCGAAAGAAAGTGAAGGAGAGGCATGTGGAAACTTTTGCTCGTGGTATGCAGGAGTTGGAAGAAGAGGATGGTGTTCTTCCTGCGCTGGATGCTCACGAGCGGTGGGTCGTGAGCGATCTCCAGGCTGCTGGCGTTTCTAATGATGCCGACTGGCCTTCTTTCGGGATTGGCGACGAGTTCGCGTCCCTGGGGCCGTTGGTGTCGTCTTCTGGTAATCCTCGAGAAGCTGTCGAGAGTTCTGGAGGTTCGTGACGGGTTCCCATGTGTTTTCCTCGTGTCCGTAGTTTTTCCATTTGATTAAGAATTCTTTTGTTTCGTTCCTGACTCTATGGTCGATGATTTTTCGACTTCGTATTCTGGTTCATTGGGTTCCACGATGATGCAATCTTCTGTGTGTGAGCCCTTAGGTGCTGGTTCGAGAAGTGAAATGTGAAAGACTGGATGACACTTCATCGTGTCTGGTAGTCTCAACTTGTAGTTGACGTTTGAGACTTTCTGAATGATTTCGAAAGGTCCGAGCTTTTTGTAGTCCAGTTTGTCGCTTGGTCGTTTTGTTTTGATGTTGCGGCGAAGGAGGTAGGCGCTATCTCCTCTTCCAAGGTTGGTCCTCCAATCCTTGATCTATTCGCGTTTTTCTTCATGCGTTGACGTACAAGCTCGAGATCCAAAGATGCTTTCTTCTGGATTTCTTTGAGTTTTGCCACGCTGGCCACTGCTTTAACAGCTTGTGGTCCTTGTCGTGCTTCTCCGTACACTGTTGGCTGATATCCGTAGTTCAAGTAGAACGGGATTCTCTTGTGCTTTCGCCAACTGCACTGTTGTATGCGAATTGGGCCATTGGTAACAATGTTACCCAGTTGTTCTGATCGTAGTTCACATAACAACGGAGGTATGTCTCGAGAATCTGGTTGATTCTTTCTGTCTGTCCATCGGTCTGCGGGTGGAAAGAGGTTGACAGTTTGTGATCTGTACAAGTTGCGAGATCAGGGATCTCCAAAACTTTGAAGTAAACAGAGAGCCTCTGTCAGAGATAATTTCCTTCGGCGTACCGTGGTTGGCAACAACGATTTTGAGGAACGTGTACGCTAACCTCTGCGCTGCTGGCCTCTTTGTAAGGTATAAAGTGGGCGAACTTGGTGAGTCGATCGACTATAACCAAGATGCTGTCGTACCATACGTTCGTGAGTGGTTCTTTGGACTTTGGTAGTTTGACGATAAAGTCCCATGAGATTGATTGCCATGCTTCCGTTGGTGGTTGCAATGGTTGCAGCTCGCCATAGGGCTTGTGCGGGCTGTTCTTGCTTTTCTTGCAGGTCGCACAGTCCTTAATTGCTTCCGCAATTTCTGCGCGTGTGGCGGATTTGTCGTAGTGCTGGCGAATCCGTTTCCACGTTTTGGTAACTCCTTGGTGACCGTGTGCAGGTGCACTGTGAATTTCCATGATGAGCTCAGGGGTCATCCTTCCAGTCGGGCTGGTACTGATCCTTCTGGCTATCATAAGAAGCTTCGTAGTTGGTACAAGGCTACCGTCTTCTTCTTGTTTGAGGATAACCTGTGTCTCCTCGGGGACCGTGACTTCGTGGTCGGGTCTTCTGCTGAGAGCGTCTGCTCTGCTGTTTTCTGAACCTTTCCGATAAATGATTCGGAAGTTGTATTCAGATAGGAACTCGCTCCATCTGACTTGTCGTTTGTTCAGGTTCTTGTTTGTCGAAGTTCGCGAGATTCTTGTGGTCTGTGTAGACTGTGACTTCATGCTTGGTTCCGGATAACTGTGGTCTCCATTCTCGAAATGCTTCGATGATGGCCATCAGTTCTTTGTCGGATTTGCCAATTCAATTCTGCTCCGTGAAATGCTTTGGAGTAGAAACAACATGGGTGAAGCTCTTGTTCGTCTCGTTGTCCCAAGACCGCTCCCATGGCGAAGTCTGAGGCGTCAGTCTCGACTTCAAAGGGCTTCCGGGGGTCTGGAATTCTGGTAACTGGTTCCGAGACGACCATATTTTTGACCTTGGTGAATGCTTCTTCGCACTTGGGATCCCAAATGAATGGGGCATCCTTTCGTGTCAAGTTGTTGAGAGGTCTGACGATGTTGGCATAGTCCCTGAGAAATCGTCGATAGAAGTTGACGAATCCCAAGAATCCTTGTACGTCCTTGACGTTCTGCGGTGTAGGCCAGTCCCGACTGCTTCCACCTTTGATGCTTGCATGTGGATTTGTCCTGGCGTGATGGTGTATCCGAGGAAGTCTACCTTCTGTACGTGAAACTCGCACTTGGAGGGTTCGGCGTACAGTTTGGCATCCTGGAGTTTCTGAAATACCATGTGGACATGCTCCTTGTGTGTTTCGAGGTCGGGAGAGAAGATGAGAACATCATCAATGTAGACAACAACAAAGATGTCAACGAACTCCCGGAGTACGTGGTTGACCATCGTTTGAAAGGTTGCCGGAGCATTGGTAAGTCCGAAGGGCATGACGAGGTACTCGAAGAGTCCTCTGCGAGTCCGAAATGCCGTCTTCCACTCGTCTCCTTCCTTGATTCGAATCTGGTTGAATGCTTCCTTGAGATCTATCGCGGTGAACCAGTTGGCTCCGTGAAGTAGGTCTCTGAGCTCAGTGATGAGGTAAAGGATAGCAATTCTTCTTCGTGATTTCGTTGAGTTTCCTGTAGTCGATAACTGGTCTCGATTTTCCTCCTTTCTTTGGTACGAAGAATAAGGGAATCCTGCGGGGATTTCGAAGGTCGAATATGTCCTTTTCGAGCTTCTCGTCGATGTACTCGTCGAGATAGTCTTGTTCTTCTTGATTCATAGGGTATATTGATAGAACCGGGTTGCGTTCCTTCTTTGAGTTCGATTTCCATATCCCAGCTGCTGTGTTCTGGTAACCCTGTTTCTTCAGGTTCCATGAATAGTTTCGTGTATATCCGGTACCTCGGGTATAGTCTGGAGTCGTTGCGATCCTCGATCGTCGGTACCGGGTGCGAACATCCTGTCGTCTTCTATCGTCCTGATGAAGGCTATGTATCGTGTTTGTTCTTGTTCTTCAGGTGTTGCTTGAAATCCGTTTGAACCCTTTTTCTTAGGTCGTTCAGTGACTGGATTTTCCCATAGGACCTGGCCAGTGGTCCAATCTATCCGTGGGTTGTGTTTTCGTAACCACGAGATTCCTAGGATGACGTCGATGTCTCCAATCTCCGTGATGTCGTACTGTAGTTGTTCTTGTTGATCGTTGATATATGTCGAAAGGTGTACGGTCTCTCGATTGACATATCCGTCATCATAGTCAACTCTTTCTCCTTCTACCGTTTGTAGTTTGTATGGATTGTCCTTCCATACCCATGGTAGGTCGAGTTTGTTCATTACTCTTGGTGATATGAAACTTCCTGTGCGCCGCTGTCGATTATAGCGCGCAGTCTGTGTCCGTGTATTTCGAGTTTGACCCATAGGTGTGCGTCGTTGCACTGTCTGGTTGCACATAGGAACTTGTCTTCGATTTTCGCCTTTCGTCGTTCCTTTGCGATTGGCCTTCCTAGTTTTTTGACAGTCTGTTTCTCAGTCGTGCTTCTTGTTCAATTTGTTCCTCTCGTTCCCTCCAGGCTTGGGATTTGGGAACGTAGTGGATCTGACAATGGTCGTGTCTACATTCGTCCCATTCCATGTCGTTGCTGTTCTGGCATCGCATAGGAAAGCATGGGTCTGGTTCGAATGTTGCCTTGTCGAGTCCATTGAAGTATGTGAGCGTCCAGTTCGGTAGTTGGTCGTCGACGTAGACGTCCTTGATAGGTCGGTCGTCGCGTCTTCGGGGTAGAAGCGACTTTCTTGGGTGAGAGATGCCAGAGACACTTATCGTCGAGGCATTCTGCCCAAAATAATTCTTCGTGGAATGCGTCCTTGGTGTTGAGCAAGGAGCCATCTCCTTTGACTAGTGGTGTCATAGGTACTTCCTTAGGTTGACTAGTTCCGTGGAACTGTACTGTCTGGTCGTCTTCGTACGGATCAATGTTCTTACACCGTGGTTCTTCGGGTTCCTCATCAGAGCTGGTGTCGTCCACACTAGGATAGAATCCATGGTCGATCTCCGTCTGAGCACGTCGTCGAGCGACGTCGCGAGGTTCGTCCGAATCATAGGTGATTCTTCGTCGAAGGTGTGGCTGCTGGAGCCGATCTCAAGTTCGTCCTTCTTGAGTCGAAAGTCTACCTTTCCATTCTTGATTTCGAAGTCAAGATTGGGCCTCTTGATTACTTGATTTTGTCTTCGCGTTCTAGGTTCTTGAGTTGTTCTTTGACCTTGCGAATGAATTTTTGTTTCCGTCGTCTCGTCGCATCACACAGATGGATTTGGTCGGGATGTCGTCCGATGGGGTCCCTTCTTCCTAAGGGATTGTTTCTTGTTGTTTCGTCGTGCCATGTGGACGAGATTACCCATGATTTCTTCTGTGTCGGGGCCTCTCTTCGAATTTGAGGAGTTGCTCCTTGTACTTGCCTGAAGTCTTTGCATGATTCTTTCTTCAAGGAGATGAAGGGTATCCTTCATGATGGGGTCTGTCTTGGCCTTCTCTTCTATATTCTGGCAGATTTGAGAGAGTATGGCGACACATTCGATGTTGTTATCCTCGAGGGTGAGAGGTCGGTAGATGGGTATCTCTTCTTCTTTGGTTGCCACCGCTAGGGTCTTGACAGGTGGTGGGGTGGTGTCGTATCCGGGTCGTTCGTTGTTCTTGGGTTTTTTAGGGTACCATCCGGTTTGTTCCTTACTGTCTTGGTGAATAAGGCAGTTGTCGTCGTAGCAAGCCGTCCATGAGAGTTGTGCGTGGGGAATTTCCTTGCTCGCGATATTGGCTCGTTTTTCTGGAACGGGTTGGTGTTGGATGCGTTTGGGTTGTCGGCAGTCTCTAGCCATGTGTCCTGGCTTGTCGCAGTTGTAGCATTTGAAGTCCTTCCTGGGGCGGTTGTCTTCTCTCTTGGCGACACTGAGATCCATGGGACCGTCATGTTGTCCGTAGGCAGTGCTTTGTCGGTTGTTGTTCCAGTTGTTGCGAGGTCGCTGGTTCGCCTGGAAACTGCGTTGAGGTTGCCATTGGTACTTGCGTCCGGTGTTAGGTCGTTCCTTCCTTTCCTTCTTGCGTTCATAGAGTCGGTTGTCAATTCTGATGGCGAGTTCTCCGTACTGAAGGAAGTCTTCTGGTCTGTCGAGCTTGACCAGCTCGTCCTTGACTTCGTCCTTCAGTCCTTGGTAGAACATGAACATTTTGGTGTCGTCAGTGAGGTCCAGTTGGGCACTGAGACGTCTGAATTCGGCGGAATATTCCTTTGCCGATTTGGTTT